AATCAGACCGGGATGTTAAAAACGTTTATTCAGCATATCATTATGTGCAATAATACAATGTACAAATTATCTTTCTGTAGATATTACAATCCATATCATATTTAAAATGTGTTGTCACAACATGAAACACAGAATACATTCAGGGTCTGAGAAGGCGTCACAGAGGGTCAGAGGTGAGGGTCTCACCAGGAAACCACTGACTCCATCATCTGAGAGAAACCAGTAAGAGCACCCTGCCACCAAGGCCAAACATGTATCTCAGATCATTTTTACTGTGCATTCAGATAATAATTCAAATATTCTTTGACTTCACTCAGCACAGAATGAACACTGTAGAAACACTAATAGAAATCATTTGATATCTGAGCAGCACTGCTGGAATATTACTCAGTATATTTACTCCAGTAAGAACATTACATGTTTTTTTCAATGTTGTACTCATTTCTACTCCACTACACCTCAGAGGTAAATATTGTACAGTTTTAGATACTATCAGATTACACTCTTCAACCCCTTCCTGTCCAGTGAGAACCACATCCCTCTACATGTGTTGATGTTGAATGTTTGTGAAAAACTGAAAGTGGAAGTTCCTTTATACCATGGGGAGATTGTCCCCCTTCTTAATCTGAATACATTTTCAAAAGGCTTTTAGAAGCGGTCAAATGCATACAGCGCTGGAAACAGGGCTGTTCATCTGAGGAACGTGTGGAAAGTGGCCTGTTTAGAGATATGTGGTTCTCACAGGACATCAGGATACAAATATGTGAGCATGTTTAAGAATATGATGCATTGCATACTTTACTTAAGTAAGATTTGAAATGCGTTGGCTTTTACTTGAAGTGGAGTATGGTATGAAAACTTTATCTGAAGTAAAGGATCTGAGTAATTCTTCCACCACTGCTGCACATTACACTGGCTTTAAGAGAGACGATTCTATAAAAACAGCAAGATCTGCCCCGTCACTGAGGGGAAGGATGGGCGACGTCTCCAGAGTAACACTGAAAACACACACACAGCCATATGAAAATCTCAAATTCAGAGTGATTATTTTTATATTAAAAGTGAAGGATTCTTATTTAAAATATTGTTTAAAAACACAATACATTTTCCTTACAAGGCATTCAGGATATAAAGGTTAGACAGCTCTTCTGCCATTTACATTCCTACACCACATTATACAATCAACCCTTCAGTCCTCTGCAGATCTTTGTGACCCAACAGGCGGCCAATCAGAGCTTATGAGCTTCATCAAAACTAGCTTGTGGTTGGACAGAGTGTCCTGATGCTGGTAAAGTGCAGCAGTCTGCGGTCAGTCAGTTTTCATCTGCAGGATGAACCCTGCAGCTGTCAATCAAATGCTTCAGAACCCCTGAAGCCCCCCGTCTGTCCCTCAGGGGTCCTTGTCCTCCACATGTAGCCCCCCCTCACTCCTGGCTCTGCCACGGGACGACTGCACCTCCTCGTACGGGGGTGGGGGGTTGTCGGGGCTGGACAGAAGCGGGCGATGACCGCCGTCTGATTGGCTGACAAGGGACAACGGGTGACAGCTGGGAGCCTCCTGAGCCAATAGGAGCTGGGTGGGTCCTGGCACTGAGCAGGGGGGGAGGCGCTGCCCCCAGCTGCCGTACATCGCCTCCTCGTAGGAGGGGAGAGAGACAGGAAGTCCGTCCACCATCAGGTCCAGCTGGTCCGAGGAGCGCCTACTGCGGAACAGAGACAAACACTGACTCAGAGACAGGCACCAGACTGGGCTTCACTTTGTTCCATAAAGCAGCCTAAAGAGCACAGCAGGGATTCATGTGAATTTTGCGTTTGCAAAAAATTGAAACCTCGACACTATTTTAACAAACAATTTGAATGGAATACATGGTCCTGTAAACATTGTGTAAAGGTGTCATCTGGTAATCTTAACGTGGTTTGTAATCTCCTGCCATTAAAGCCTGATAGGGTTCAGTCAGATGTCTGAGAGGACTGCTCCATATTTCTGAGTACTCTTCCATCTCTTAGGTTGTAGAAAGTTCTCTTTGAAGGTAGATGTTATTTGTATAAAGAGTATGTTTTGTTGATCAAGAAAAGAGCAGAAAGAGACAAAGATCCTCTGAGCAACAGTTCAATAAGAATAGAAGAAATGTGCTTCCTGTTTCCAATAATGCTTCTAACAGGCTTTAACTGCCTAGCAAAGCTATTCTTCTTCTCAGCAGAAACAGAAGCGTAGTGGACTGATGCATCACAGTGTAACCAGTGGTTACACTGTGATGCATCACAGTGTAACCACTGATTACTGCAGTGAGTTTCAAACAGGTCAGGTGTGTCAGCACACTGGTGGATTTTGTAATCATGTTTCCTTCACACGTGAAGATAAAAGAAGAACATCCCTTCTGTTATTCAGAGAAGAGGTTCTCTAACAATCACTGCAGGAAATGATCCTCCTCTCACCTGTGTGATTGACAGGGGTAGAGGCGGGACTTGACCACCAAGCATGCAGTGGTGGTGAGCAGGAAGATGGACACGCCCACCGCCGTGGTGGCCATGCTGGGCATCGAGTCGTTCCCCCGGTCATCAGAGTTCATCTTCGGACCCTCTGAGGAGGAGACACAGGATCAGAAACAACGACCACAGACACCGACAGACCCTCAGACAGACCCTCAGACAGACCCACAGACAGACCCTCAGACAGACCCTCAGACACTGACAGACCCTCAGACAGACCCTCAGACAGACCCTCAGATACTGACAGACCCTCAGACAGACCCACAGACACTGACAGACCCTCAGACAGACACTCAGACACTGACAGACCCTCAGACAGACCCACAGACACTGACAGACCCTCAGACAGACCCTCAGACACTGACAGACCCTCAGACAGACCCACAGACACTGACAGACCCTCAGACAGACCCTCAGACACTGACAGACCCACAGACACTGACAGACCCTCAGACAGACCCACAGACACTGACAGACCCTCAGACAGACCCCCAGACACTGACAGACCCTCAGACACTGACAGACCCTCAGACAGACCCACAGACACTGACAGACCCTCAGACAGACCCACAGACACTGACAGACCCTCAGGCAGACCCTCAGACACTGACAGACCCTCAGACACTGACAGACCCTCAGACAGACCCTCAGACCCACAGACCCTCAGACACTGACAGACCCTCAGACAGACCCACAGACAGACCCTCAGATCCACAGACCCTCAGACAGACCAACAGACCCTGACAGACCCTCAGACCCAGACAGACCCACAGACCCTCAGACAGACCCACAGATACTGACCCTCAGACAGACCCACAGACACTGACAGACCCTCAGGCAGACCCACAGACACTGACAGACCCTCAGACCCACAGACACTGACAGACCCTCAGACAGACCCACAGACACTGACAGACCCTCAGACAGACCCACAGACACTGACAGACCCTCAGACAGACCCACAGACACTGACAGACCCACAGACACTGACAGACCCACAGACAGACCCACAGACACTGACAGACCCACAGACACTGACAGACCCTCAGACAGACCCACAGACACTGACAGACCCACAGACACTGACAGACCCACAGACAGACCGTCAGACCCACAGACCCTCAGACACTGACAGACCCTCAGACCCTGACAGACCCTCAGACCCTGACAGACCCTCAGACCCTGACAGACCCTCAGACACTGACAGACCCTCAGACCCTGACAGACCCACAGACACTGACAGACCCTCAGACCCTGACAGACCCTCAGACCCTGACAGACCCCCTGCCAGTAGCTGAGCAAACAGAGGCTGAGCTTCACAATGAAACAATCATTGAATGATTCAGTCTCCATATGGAATCCCCTCTCCTCACACTGTAGTCCTCCGCTCCACCTAGCCCTCAGCACTGCAATTCTCTTATTCTCACTATAACCAACGTTATCTATTTTCTATTTTTACTACATATCACATAATTGTTACACACAAATAAAACCTTGAACAATTGAATTGATAAAAAAATCATGAAATAATGAACTGTATGCAGCTAAAGGTACACACAGACATCTCTGGCCAATTATCCGACAGAAAAGGAGCATGTGGAAAGTGTCAGCACGCAGCTTCAGTTAAAACGTTTAGGTGGTTGAGAAAACAAATTGAAACGTGTAGATCTGTAACAATGAGTGGAAGCTGTGGCAGAACAATCACCTGTGGTGGAAAACCCAGACAGCTATTATCTAACAGAAATAGATAATCAAACACACGATCTATGACGGGAGGTTTTGATCTGGTTCTGTGGGTCCCCTGATCTCCTGGCAGTAGATTTCCATGAGGCTCTGACAGCGTCATCACAGGGGAAATGTCTAATGGTTATCATGGTGGCATCGCCCACTTCCTCTTTCTGCACTCTGACTTCCTGTCGCATCTTGTTCTTAGTGAATGGGGAGAGGAAGTAGAACTGGTCTGAGACAGTCTCTGTGAAGTTCGGAGATGAACTTGAGTTTACATCAGACTCTTCCTCCTGATCTCAGCTTAACAGTCAGTCATTGAGACAAAACTCCAGTCCACTTAGGTCCAGTGGAGGTACTAATACCACTCTGTAAAATACTCTGTTACAAGTCAAAAGTCCTTTGTTTCTTAACTAAAGTATGTAAGTATAACCAGGAACTACTTAAAGCTGTAAAAGTATAACAATGTCTCCTGTCATTGTTTACTTTAATGTACTACATCATCATCATTTTGCTGTTGTAGTTGTTTGAGATGGCGCTCAATTTGGAACTATTTATTAAAGATGTCATTTTTATAACGGATTCAGTAGATTTTCTCTATTCGTTTTTTTGGTAAATCAAATGAAAATGGTGGTTTAATAGTAACACAATTACCCTGATCCTAAATGACACAATTGTTAACAAGGTTAAAGGGCAAAAGCAGCTATTACTTGTTTCTATTGAGACATGGAATGTTTTACATAAAAAATGATAACTAGGTAACTAAAGCTGTACAAAGAATGTAGTGGAGTAACAGTTTAATATTTCACTCTATAACAGAGTGGAAGTGAAAAGGAATATAAAAGCTTCGATGCAGTAAAAGTACCTAAAATGTGTTGGTGAGTACAGTTCTTGAGTAAAGTCCACTGGCTGAACTATAAACTCTTTTTGTTGAAGCTCAGCCTGACACATCATGGCTGTAGTCAGCCATGTTTAGGTTGATATCTCTCCTCTGAGAGCCGCACCCAACCAGGATGTCCTCCTCTGCTTCCAGAACGCTCTGAACCAGGAGTGATGTCAGTGAAGACCAATGAGCTGCACCGCTGAGTCATTAGATAATAGCCTGAGCTCATCACTGAGTAATGCTGTGAAGCAGGGGCTGCTGGGAAATGTCAGGGGATGTTTGGAGTGGTCCGAGAACATCTGCTCACTGATTAGGAATTTGAAAGTCACATGACTGAAAACCTAGAGAGTAGTGGAAACCTCTGAAGCCACAGAGAGAATCAAATGTTCTTCACTGACGCAAACCACCCTGTGTTCAACTCTCGTCAAATCTGTCTGTAGGAAGGGCCAGTCATTCCAATACTCATACATCCCACACATATTTTGTCTTTCAACAAGTGGTGGAAGAAGTACTGAGATCCTTTACTTGAGTAAAAAGTAGAAATACCAGAGTCTAAAAATACTCCATAGAAATTAAAGTGTATTACAAATGTACACTATCAGCAAAATGTACTTAAAGTATCAAAAGTAAAAGTTGTTATTGAGCAGTGTCTTGTATTATAACAGAACATGATGCTCTCCTGCTGTTATCCGCTCCTCAACAGGTTTTAAAGTTGTGGTTTGTCAATGACAAATCCATTTAACATTATAGATAGTCATGCTGCATCATGCCATATGTTTTAATGTGTTAAAAGCAGTGGTGTAATGTAACTAAGTATATACTCAAGTAGTCTGATTAAGTACTTTTTTGACATACATATACTTTACTTGAGTAAGTGTGTTTTATGCTACATATAATTGTAATCCACTACATACTGGAAGCAAATATACTTTTTACTCCATCACAGTTTTTCAAGACTCACACTTTTACATATGATATATGATAAGATGCAATACTGTTCTACATATATACCTAGTATTTTGTATATATCGTTAGTAAATTGGCGCCACATTGCAAAAACTACAAGTTTAAATGCTCCTACATTTACTTGTTAGTTGTGAAAACAGAATAATATTATATTCTATAATAATATAATAAATTATAATAAAAAGGCATTATGCTTACTGAGTACTTTTGATACTCAAAGTACATTTTGCTCAAAATACTTCTTCATATTTTGACTTGAAACTGAGTATTTTAGGACCATAGTATTTGTACTTTTACCTAAATTAAGAATCTGAGTATTTTTCCACCACTGGTTTATAGGAATCATGTGTCAAGAAAATGTAGTGTGGTGAAAAGAATATCATTCATCTCTGGGATGTAGAGCAGTATAAACACATGGAAATATTGGATGGATATTGGCAATTCAATACAAAATAAAAAGCCCTTTAAAGTGAATGTAGGCCCTGTCACTGATTCCCAGCACTTAATATGGACCTGCCTGAAGTGAATATATCTGCACTATCTTGGTTGGTCGGAGTTTGAATCTGGATGTTTTTTGCACTTAATGTAAGTCGCTTTGGATAAAAGAAATAGAATGTAATGTGTTATTGTTGCACTCTCACCTCTGAGAGGGGTGCAGGCGGGGATGGGGGGCATCCACCTCCCGTGTCGGCACCTGGAGACGCGCACCTTGCTGTTGACATGGTAACCGGGCTCACAGAAGAAGTGGATGGAGCTCTTCTGGGGGAACCCCCGGCACGGAGACGGGTCACAGCGGAACCCCCCATGCTCCGGCACCAGAGGGTGGGTGCAGTTACTGAGGCGGCCTGCAGGCACAAACACACTCTGTGAGGCCTAATGCACTGGATTCATATATATACTACTATATGTAATATATAAATATACCTCTTCATACATATTATATCATCAATGGCCCCCCTTAGTCAGACAATTCAATTCATCTTCTGTAATAAATCTGTAAATAACTGCAATATATATTTCGCCTCCAAATACTGTCACCCAGCTGCTTCCTCACAGCTGTTACTGGGACTGGATGTGTATTTTGAAAATTGTAAATTGTGTAATTTCGAATTTTATCTGTAATATTTTATGCATTCTCTTAATTAATATTAGGCAAGGCAAGTTTATTTATATAGCACTTTTCTGTACGCGACAATTCAAAGTGCTTTACAAAACAAATTAAAAGACTTTTTAGGAATAAGCTATGCTTATGCTCTGATTCTGAGCCGGCGACTGGTTAATGCTTATATTTCTCAAAAATTAAACCATTGAACCTTATGCCTTCTTGCAAGCTGGGAAAATTAGGATTTCATTTTCCTTAAAAATGACTTATAGTAGAGTAGAAGTTCTATCAGAATATTCCTTGAATCTGTTCAATTAAACAACTTCAGTACACACTTTCAGTACTGAAACTTCAGGACACATTCTGTTTGTAGGGCCATTTAATTTACAGAAAGTCAATCCACCAGCTGGGTTTCTCTTCACGTGCATCATGACTACTCACCCTTCAGTAGGAAAAAGTAGCATACATTGGGAATACTCAAGTAAGGTACATGTACCTCTAATTTGTACTTAAGTCCTTGAGTTGTACTTGTTTGATCAGACGGTGCAAGAACACATGTCCAGAGTGAAACACAGCAGGTGATGTTGTTATGGTTCCCTGAGTGACAGGTTCTACAGAAGGTCACAGTTTGGGTTAGGTATTAATATGAAACCCTGAATGCATGCTGCAGTTGTTTTTTGCAGCATTAAAACGTTTCCCACAAACTCCTCTGCCTTATACAACTGGCAGAGCTGGTACCACTTCCTCTATTTCTACACCTGCATCTAAAGGGCTGCGTCGGCAGAACGATCGTTTCCACCGAGCTCCTTCACCCGAACACAGTGAAGAGTGGGTCAGGGTGAGGAGAGGAACAGGCCGGAAGGAAAGATACAACGGTTCTGATGAGAAGAGGAAGAACCAGAGAGGTTCAAACCTGACAGAAAGTGTCTGCATCCTGAAACACGCTGCTAAAATGTAATGTTTCACAATCAGTCGCCATGACACCCTGCGTGCCACTGTTATAAACTACCTGGGTCGTGTTGGCAATAAAAGCTAATATTCAATCGTCTTATATTCACCAATAAATCCCAGAGGTTATGTAAAACATAGATATCAGTTTTTCATCATTTCTTTAGTTGGAGATTTCTACGGTAACCCTTACCCCCTAATCGCACCAGGAGCGTCTGCGCTGCGCTGCGACCTCCTCCTGCGTCCTAACCCACCAGGCGCGTTTCAAAACGTTGCGGAAGCGGAGCGTCGTGTGTGCAGCCTCGCAGTTGTTGGATGAACATTCCACTTCCTGCCTGCGCCGCGCTGCGCCGTGTCAAAAATAGGATTCATCCTATATTTTAGAAATTCCTTGCGGCGAGGAGCTTCTGGGACGCTTCGAGCCGCGGCGCAGCGCAGCGCAGCGTGTCTGGTGGAATAGCACCCATTGACTAGAGTGGTCGCTGGTCGCGATCGCTAAAAACGCCGCAGCGCAACGCAGACGCTCCTGGTGGGATTAGGGGGTTATAATTCAACACGCTGCAAACAGAGACAACACAACAAATACAAGAAGCTCAAGCAGAGCACCAAGCAGCTGGGACACACTTTTTGTTGCCATTGTTGCCATGGTTATTGGCTTATAAAGTGATTAAGTCAACCATTGATCAGTGTTGTTGGAAAAGTTGAGTATTTTTTGCTTTATTTTAACATCATGACCACAACCGTCACAAGTAGCCTAATGTTCCAAATCTAAAATGCAAATGTATTCAATTATTGTTTAAAACAAATGGAGTTGCAGTTTGACGGCTAAATACAATCATAAACGTCAAAACGAGTCATTCTGTCATAAAAGATGATTTGATTTGATTAGTTATTTATTAGCTATAGCTCAGACAATGTTTCACAGGTAATTGTTTTGTTTCATCAGATGGCTAAGCTAATAAGCAAAAGGCCCTGAAAGAGTTTCAGGTGTTGTGTGCTGCTTCCTGCTGCACAGTCCTGTGCCTGCAGCGTGTTGCCTGGGTGTCAGAGGGGTCAGGGAGGTCAGAGGTCGTACCTGCTGCGAGGAGCGGGGAGGCGGCCAGGAGGAGGAGTCTACACACCAGAGTGACGCGTCCCCACGGCGATGGAGACAGGACGGACGCAGACATCAAACCTGATCCTGAGGACACGACAGGGATAGAGTCAGAAGCAGAACACACACACACACACACACACACACTCACACACGCAATTGACCTAAATGTAGCTGCTGAGCTCTTATCTCCAGATTAAACTACGACTGTAACCCTGCCCCCAGCCTTCAGAGCAGCGATAGTGAAACTGAAATGTGTGAACTCTGACCAGACAGACCCTCTCAGAACAGAAACCAGCAGCACCACAACAACAACAACAACACAACTCTCTTTGCAGATGACTAGTCCAGAACACGCACTGTAGGAGCTAAAACGCTTATTTAGTCGTTTAGTCGTTGTTGATTGTTTCTATTATTTTGTTATTTGTTTACACCACAATAAGTCTTTATAATAAGTCCTGGGGCCTCATTTATAAACGGTGCGTACGCTCAAAATATGGCTGATGCACAGGCTGCAGCGGAGACGCTGCGCACAGCTGATCGACAGCTGGAACACAAACCACCAAATACAAAAACATAATTCAGATCCAGTCGTCATGACTCCACTCCGGAGGGATTCCCCGATCATTTCTTACAGTTTCTTATCAAGGGGGTGTCTCCTGTCCCCGGTACAAACACACTGCCTGAGGAAGGCTATGGGCCCTTCTCACTTCTCTTATTTTTCATTTCCTCGCTCCTCGGTCTCGGTCTCACCGGAAGTTGATTTGTCTGCGCCATCTTGAGTAGCGTCCCAATGGCCTTATTTTTGCCGGAGGAGCGAGGAGCGATAATGGAGGAGCTATAACCGAGGAACCACCAGACCATCCTTCGATGAAATCCTCAGATACTCGCCCCGCCCCCTTACTGTGTATCGCTCACTGATTGGACGATGCAGCGCATGCACTGATCTGATGCTTCTTGACATGAGAGCAGTTTCCCAGCGGAGTGAAGAAAATACATGAAGCTCACGAGAGTCACTCCTCAGTTTATACCGTGTTTTGTTGCAATTCATGTTTCATTTAGTTACAAATATGTGATATATCTGAACAACAAAGTGGTCACAAATCATTTTATTCATTTTTCGTTTTACATTTTCATTTATTGTCATTTCCATTGAGTCAGTCATTAAGTGCTATTACAATGTTAATGTGCTACATATCCACACAAACACACAAAGTGTGCAATTCAATGAATGTTAATCTAACTGGGGTTTGATAGATAATATATCTCTTTTTCTTCTCTCAATTATTTTATTTCTTTTGTGCACTCTAATCAATAATAATCAAACTAATGTTCGTTTATACATTTTAAGAATGGCGTTTATCTTTTTTTAGAATTAGTTCTTATTTAATTGTATGTATTTGGGTCTACAACAGAATAGATGATACAAATGTTTGTGTCAGTAAATGTGTACTAACAGAGGCGGGGGTGTGTGTGGAAATAACGGGGACAGAGCTGCTGTCAGACGATCAGCTGTGCGGCGTCATCACAAACGGACGTCGCTTCACGTGACGCTCCGGAGGAAAGGACGTCCCATTGCTCTTAAAGCTCATTTCCCTGCTTCTCGTGGTTTCCTTGCGTCTCTCCATGCTTCCCTGGTGGGAGGGACTAGTCACAAGGAAACGACGCAAGTGAGGGACGCAAGGAATCCATTTAACCGAAGTGAGAAGGGCCCGGTGTGAGATGTCTTTTGTAGCTGTTCTGTCGTCATTTCCTGCGATCTCCTTCATAAAGTCAGGCCCATTCCCAAACCGCCCCCTACACCCTACCCCTCCGTTTGCGCGTTCGCGCGGAGGGTCCGCCATATTAAGTGCTCACTGCTGTTCCAAACCAACGAGTGTGGAGCGGTGTGGAGGGGGAGTGGGCTATCAAGCCCTCAAACAGCGAGTCTGCAGCGGTGTTTGAGACCGGTCTCTACCTGACCGGAGTCACGCTGTGTGTGTCCGTCAGGAAACCAGGGCTGAAGTCGAATAGTCCATTTAGCTTAGGAACCTTCCTAACGGAGTGAAATGACCCGGAAGTCCCTCAGTGGCAGCTATAAGTGCCGTTCGCATTCTCTAGAATGATAGGAAAGGAGGTTTCAAACTTCCTTTATAACCTCCTTTAGCTTAGGAACCATAGACATATAAAGAGTAGACGCCGCATTGGCTGCTGGGGCGCAAGAAATACCGGTCATCCTACCCATATTGTACAGACATTCTACCCATAGACAGCAGAGGTTTCAAGATGCCAGAGCACTGTGCGGCGTATTGCTGTGCAAATCGGCGGACGATTGCGAACAGCTGGGTCGGGGGATTACTTTTCACAAGTAAGATTTAACATTATTATTGGTTGTATTTTGTAAATAGAATATTATTGTACTGTATTGATGTCCGCCAGCGAAATCGTAGCCAGCAAACATTATGTTTATGGCCAACTGAGACTTTATAAATCATATGCTGCTGTAACAAGTGAATTTCCTCATTGTGGGATGAATAAAGTAAAATCTAATCTCATCTATCTAGGAAGAAGAAGGAAGAAAATAAGCTTGACCTCCTTCTTAAAAATGTTTTGTGTTGACTCTCAAATCTCCCGTTTTTATTTTGAAGGTTTCCCAAAGACAAAGATATGAGGAAGAAGTGGGAAGTTGCTTTGAGGAGGGAAGGGTTCACTGCAAGCGAGTCATCCGTGATTTGCAGTGAGCATTTTAAGCAGGACGAGTTTGACAGGACAGGACAGATTGTCCGACTCAGAGATGGTGTTATTCCCTCCATCTTCAGCTTCCCGGTTCACCTCCAAAGAGTAGGTGTATCATCATAAGGCTATTAGCATTCATAAATGTAAATATTCTATTATCAATAACAGGGCAGGGTGAAATACCTATCCCTGTGTGTGTGTATATATATATTCTTTTCAAGTATTATGCTTCTTCATTTTAGCCGGAAAAGGGCAGGACTACGTCTACTTCCAGAAAAGCTGAAGAGAGCCTGTCTGTGGCCCCTCAGGACGACCCAGAAGCTTCAACCTCACACTCACAACCTCAGCCTAATGATGTGAGTATTTCTATTTTCAACATCATATCATAATGGTCCTAGACGAAGTAAAATCTCTCTTGTTTGCTGCCACTCATATTAAACACACTCACAAATAAACCCATACACACACAATTGAAGACATGTTGAACATGCATTCCTGTCACACACACACACACACACACACACACACACACACACACACACACACACACACACACACACGCACATGATGCTGGCAGTGGCTTTGACAGGTGATGACTATAAGAAAGAATGTGGGCCATACTCTAGTTGTGTCAAAGTGATGTGTGTGAAGTGAAACATCACTCAAACCATGTTCATCCCTCTTTCTACTAGGATCATAGCTATGTCTTGCCTGCTTCTCCTACTGCTCTTAAGGCCAGACTCAATGAAGCTTTAGCAAGAGTGGAGAGTCTCGAGCGAGAGATAAAGAATGCCATGGCTAGAGAAAAGAGGGCAAAGACCACAGTGAGGAGTCTTTTGGGGGATTTGAGGGAAAAGAACCTCATTAATGAAGAACTCAAAGAGAGGCTTGATTTCTACTCAGGTAAAATGAGATTAGCACTTTGAAATTCATGTACATCTTACTCTTATACTCTTTATTAAACTCCTTTGTTATTATATGAAGGGGACTTATTAATTTTTTCTCATACAATTTCAGATCTTCAAATAGACTTCAAGGCAAAGCAGGGCCACAGAGAGTTTGCCCTCACACTCCATCTACATGGTCCAAAGACATACAAATACCTCAGAGAGACTACAAATCTTCCCCTCCCTCATCCACATACATTACAAAGGTAGTCTTAATGTTGTTCAATTTCATTTTTGGAAATTACGGTTGCAAATACGTTAAATAGCTACTTCTCCATTTGTTTACAGGTGGCTGTGTTCGGTGGATGGCAAGCCTGGCCTGAACAAGATGATGCTGGATATGCTGGAGAGAAGATGCCAGGAAGACCAGGCTAAATATGGATGTGTTGCACTCATGTTGGATGCCATGGCCATCAGAAAACAATATAATCCACATAACCAGTCAATGTCTGGTTTTGTAGACATGGGTGATGGAAACAATGAGACCGATGTTGCTACTGAGGCTCTTGTGTTCATGGTGGTTGTCCTACAAGGACATTGGAAGGCTCCCATTGCATATTACCTGACGAAGTCTCTGTCACCTGAAACACAAAGGGTCCTTCTCAGTCATGCTTTGGAGGAGCTGCATGCACGGGGCATTCGGGGTGGTATCTGTCACCATGGATGGGCATGCCTCCAACGTCAGCATGTGCAACCAACTTGGGTGTGAGCTGAAGGGAAACCCACAGGAGCCACTTCAAACCAGTTTCCCGCATCCCTCGACTGGTGACAAAGTATTTGTAATGATGGATGGATGCCACATGCTGAAGTTGGCACGTAATATGTTGCAGGTAAATGATGATTGTTGTAGACCTATTTGTACAAGTTATGTCTCTGCTGCTAAAAGTTGTATCTAAATATTGTTGTCTGTTCATTTGCACAGTTATGGCTGGACGTGATGATCAACATGTTGCTGTTTGTACTTGTTTGAGCAGTGACTGAATGTTTCTCTGCAGGCAAACAGTCCAATTGCAACGACCACCGGACAGATCAAGTGGAGGTTCATCAATCATCTCAATGATGTGCAAAAAAAAGACGGACTGCATGCTGTCAATACAATCACAGACAAACATGTCTACTTTGAGAACCACAAGACGAGGGTGTCCCTGGCTGCACAAACACTGAGTCGCTCCGTGTCAGTTGCTCTCCGCACACACAATGAATCCTACGCACGGCGTTATAAATGAGGCCCCTGGTCACAGTGATGAGCCAAGTTTAGCCTGTTGAGCGACATCATTTATTGGAAGTTTTGATGCTACACACACCTTCCTGTGATGAGAGAATGCAAACCTGGGGCCTCATTTATAACGCCGTGCGTATAGGATTCACGTGGGAAGGTTGCTTACGTAGTAGAAATCCAAAAAATAGGTACCGAAATTTTCCGATTCACCAAACATTGCGTAGTGGCGAGGACGTACGGCACATCCTACGCCGGTTTCCCTTTTATAAATCACAATCGACTCGAAATGCGGTGCAGCTTTTGCGGGCTTCACGTAACGCCCATATTTGCCTATAAATAGTCAAAGAAACGCCCATTCATTCATTCTGACTGACTGCATGAAGAAGATCGCAGGAAATGACGACAGAACAGCTAAAAAAGACATCTCACACCGTGTCAGATTTTGGTTATTTTGGGGAGGTGGAGATAAATCCTATTGTTTGGTGGATGCAGTTTGAACCAGAGTAGCAGCATGGAGGTCGGATCGTCACCAAAATAAATAAATAAATGGTCCGAAAAAGCTTCATGACAAAAACAATACACACAGCCTTCCTCAGGCAGTGTGTTTGTACCGGGGACAGGAGACCCCCCCTTGATGAGAGACTGTAAGACATGATCGGGGAATCCCTCCGGAGTGGAGTCATGACGACTGGATCTGAATTATGTTTTCGTATTTGGTGGTTTGTGTCCCAGCTGTCGATCAGCTGTGCGCAGCCTCTCCACTGCAGCAACTCTATATCCACCAGTTAAAGGAAATACAACTAATGTGTTGTGTTATATTTGCTGTACAATTTACCACTTATGGTGTTCTTAGTTTCCATACCTCCTGTGTTTTACGAGCGACTTATCAAGTCTTAGCAAACGGCATAAAAC